TGTCTGTGTCTCTGTGTGTCTGTGTGTGTGTGTGTGTGTAGATCCGGTGCCGGCGTTGGAGTTGTCGCAGCAGCTGCATCTGAAGGTCCAGAGGATGCATGATATTGATACAGAAAACCAGAAGTTGCGTGAGACGCTCGAGGAATACAACAAAGAGTTTGCTGAGGTCAAGAACCAGGGTGAGACACACACACACACACACACACTCGTAACACTGGAAACATCCTGTCATCTTTTCTCCATGATGGAGTAGAGATGAGGTTAGGCTGAGACTCAAATTGCACGGCCACTGACTGTTCATGAAAATATCAGTATTGTTCTCGTTCTGGAAAAAAGTGGTATCGGAACAACGTTGCAGTACTGAATATGTTACACTGTGCAAATCTGGCGGTTCAGTATCAGTCTCTGTCTAGCAGCTGTCAGTACGCAAGAATCATCTCCAGCACTGTAAATGGCACAACACACGAATGTTATGTACACGAACACTTTGATTGTTTTGTGTTTGAACTGTTTGAACATCATAGCAGTGCAAACCCTCTGCATCACTTTTCATTTCTCAAGGCTGTTTAAACACAGGGATGGATCACAACAGGCTCCTCTGATTCTCACCTGGCTGAGAATCAGAGGAGTGTGTTAGCACAGGTTCTGTGTGTGTGTGTGTGTGTGTTACGGCTTCACTGAAACTTGCCTTGTGTCTGTAGAAGTGACCATTAAAACACTAAAGGAGAAAATCAGAGACTATGAGCAGAGCATGAGGAACCAGGCAGAGAATCTGGCCCTGGAGAAACACCAACAGATTCATAAAGACTATGCGGAGAAAGAGAGGTCAGTACCCATCATGCTCCATCTCATCTTTATAAAAGCCGCAGCTTAGAGGTCTAAATCATGAGCGGTCACTACACGTGTCACTTTTACTGAAATCGACCAGGTATTTAATTGCATTAAAAGATGTAGTTGTTCTATTCTGCCACTTCAGATTGTGCATTTTTAGCAGGTTGTTGAAATTGTCCACATCATTAACTTGTAATTCTGAACGTCTAGAAATATTTAATTTTCAACCCTGATCAAACTCACGGGCCTCAGTTTGTGTCGTTCAAGTGTTTTAGTAAGATTGGGATACTTTTGATCCAAAAAAACCTGGATTATTCTGATCCCAGCAGAAGGGTGGATTTCAGGAACCAACATGTAATAAAACTTTAAAACTGGTCCAAAAAATACAACATTTGTAACATGTAATATCGTATTGACCCGAATATAAGACAATGTTTTTTTCTTGGAAAT